ACTGTCAAGCACTTATAATAAAAGTCCAATTTTTGAAGAATCGACAGAAGTAGGAATTTAAATTGAAAATTGAGTTTAATACTGAAATGAATAAAGAATTAAAGAATTATCTGATGATCCCTTCAAAAAATCTGTTAAATCTGATTCTCTCAAAAATACTCTAAGCTAATATTTATATGGAGAATCATTTGATTATTCACAACTAGTGGCAACCATCATATTTGTAAGTGCTAAATCATTTGAACGCGTAATAATTAATTTAGAACAGAAGGGAGGTTAATTTATATTAAGTTTTAAGGTATTTAGACTAGGCATTATATTGTTTGTATATTATGCTGTAAGTTTAAGACTGATGCTATCACCAAAGTTTAACTCTTTAATACTATTAAATAATTTAAATTGATGAGAAATGTATTTTGGTTAAAGTATTTCTATTATTTCATAGTTATAGATGATTGCTATTGATAAATCTAATAAAAAGGGTTTTTAATTAAATGGGATTAGAAATGTAAAATTAAGTTATTCATAATTATTTACTTTTCTCATTAAATAACCCTAATTGAATTCTAAATCTAAAACAGGAAAATCATCTTCAAGATATACAATAATTTAATTAAATTTTTAAGTTTATTAGAATTTTGTTACTATTACTGACCATTCCTATACAGTAAATACAGAAATTGTATTCTTCTTGATGAATTAAACTGAATCAGTTACATTAACATTAATCATTTATTTTTATTAGTTTAAGCAAGAATTATTTAATGTTAAGTCCTTACAAGTTACATAAATATACAAATCAGGATCATTATTCCAATCATATGTTGTATCTAAATCTTTGCATTTTACTTAGAGATTTAAATCTTTTCTTATATTTTAAACTCCTCTGTTATTTAATTAGCAAATCAATCCAGCAAATGGAATGTTGATACTCAAATTTTAGTATTGAGTTTTATTAGTATTCAAATTAGTTGCTATAACTTAGAATGTATAAGTTGAATTAGGACTTAATGTATATTTTGTAATATTTGCTTATATTTTTTCAAATGGATTAGTTTCTAATGATGTATTTAGTCTTGAAGGAAATGACTTTTTAGGATGTCTATCAATTTCACTAAGTTAGACCATATATTTAGAATTGTCTACTTAATTCGATTTAAATAAAGTGCCAGCTGATAATCCAATAGTGATTGTTTCATAGACAAAATATGAAGGTTTTACAATTATATCAATGTATGGTAGATCTCCTGAATGGGTATATATAATAAATTCTGAATATGACTGAATATGGATGAAATTTTAATATTAGATCTTAAATTTTAGAATTGCATCACTAGGTAATGTAAATTTGGGTATCAATAAATTATATTCTTATAGAAAATTCATTTAATCTATGAAATCACCTAATGGTTATGTATCTTAATTTGTTTCAACTTAAAAATTCCAAATGATATTATCCAATTTTCTATTTCCATAGTTTTTTATTGATTTCAAATAAACTGAGTTTTTTGTAAAAGGATTGAGTTAATGAACAGGTACATGATATTCAACTTATGGAGCAAATGGTTTTATTGGCATTTATAATGTTGTAAAGATAAACTTGTTTAAAGTAGTTTCACAATTAATATGAGATAAAGAATTACTTATAAATAGTATTTCATCTCCAACATTTATTTTTGAGTTTTCTCCTAAAGATATTAGCAATTCATGATTATCGTCTGGATTAATGAAACATTAAGAATTTTAACCAAAACTTTATAAAGATTTCAACTCAAATAATTACAAACATTTATTTAGTTCGAATTATTAATTAAATCCTTTTGAATTTAATGGAAAATCAAAATGAATAATAATCTTACTAATATCATCTGATAAATATGCTTTGACAACAGCGACTTCACAAGCTATAAGAAATATAAGGATTAATTTACTTGAACACCAAGGGGTATCATTATACCAAATTGAATTTGGTGGAGGAACACAATCCATTTCTTCATTTAATATTCTATTGGCATTACAAGATAAACATCCTTTTATATTACATTCTAAACAGGCACTATCACATAATTAGCAATCTTCATTTATTTGATCATCAAAATATCCTGGTTGACAAATACATTATGGCTCTTAAATTCTATTACCTTTACAAGAGTCACAATTCATAGCTTATATACTACAAGTAGCGCATTTAAATGCACATTCTATATAAATTAAAGAAATTAAATACATTCACAAAATATAGAGCCAAATTCAAAGAATCCATCAATACATTTACAATCATTTCCAATCCTACCTGATTTACAAGTCAAGCAATTCGAAGGTTATATTGCACAAGTATTGCATTAAGAAGAACAAACTTTTATAAACAATAAAATGTACTTTAACAAGTGAATTATTCATCTTCAAAATATCCATCCATGCAATTACAGGTAGGTGGATTTATTCGTATTGAATTTGAACAAATTACACAGTTAATTGAATCATTTTAACAAGTTTTACATTTAAGATTGCATTTTTAACATTATAATTAGATTCCATCATCAAAATAGCCTTCTTTACAATTACATTAATCAGATAAAGACTTTCTATTTGAATTTAATTCAAACTTACAACTTAAACATTAATCACTCTAATTTATACAAGTTTAACATTTGATATGACATTCTAAAATATAGTTATAGATACTTACTTTAACATATCTAATTTTGATCTTGATAAAATCCAATTATACATGGACATTTATGGATAATTGATTAATCAACTCTTTTAGAATTGATATCACAACTTGTACAATAATCAGCTTAGCCTTAACATGTTAAACATTCATTTGAACATTCTAAAATATAAATAAACATAGATTACTTGAACATATATCTGTGTTTAATTCAAAATATCCAGATTTACATAAACATTTGTCACCTAATTAATATCTATTTTATTCAATTTCATAACAAGATAAACAAGTTGAAGCAGTATTTTAACAGGTCTTACAAATATTATTACATTTTTAACATAATTCTATTCCTGTATCATAATATCCATCAATACATAGACATTTATTATTTTTTAGTATTCTATAAGTGATATTCAAACAAGTTAAACAATTAGTATTTATATTTGCACAAGTTTCACATGATAAATGACATTCTAATGATGTATAATAATTACATACATTAACAATTTTATTAATTTGTCTCATAAAATCCATCATTACATAAACACTTTTTTTAATCTTCATCTAAATATCTTGTTGTGTCTCTACAAGATGTACATTCACTATTATTTTAACACTCTAAACAATTAATGTGACATTCTAAATAAATATATAATATAACATATTACATTAACATGATTTAGTCAAAGAATCAAAATAATAAGATTATGAACATAAGCATTTGTTGTTAATCATAGACAAATTCAGATTTGTATCACATGATAAACAGTTATCGTATGTAATTGAACAAGTTAAACAAGATTTTGCACATTCTTCACATTATTATGTAATTGGATTTTCATAATATCCTAATTTACATTCACATTAATTTCCAGATTTAAATATTCTAAAATTATCAATTGAACATGTTAAACAATAGATATCTGAATAAGCACAAGTTAAACAACTTTTATTACATAATTTACATTATTTATCTGCAATTGATTCATACATTCCATCATTACAAATGCAATTATTATTCTTTAAATATCGAAATTAAACACAAGAAGTACATAAATTTAAAGATTACGAACATGTTTTACAACTTGAATGACATTACTCACAGATTCCATTAATTTCAAGATAACCAATTTAACAATCACAAGTTTAAGTTATTGAATTAAGTTCTCTAAATTAATCAGAATCACATGATGTACAATTATTTGATGTGGATTCACATGTAAAGCAATTTGAATTACATTTTAAACAAAGTTATAAACCTACATCATAATATCCCTGTTGGCATTTGCAATTACTTTCTATTTTTCTTGTTTATGGACATGATTAACATTAGTAAGATTGATTAATACAACTTAAACATTAAATATCACATTTTTAACATTGCACTGATTAACCATTATCAAAATATCCAGATATACATTAACAACTATCATTATAAAATACTCTATATGAAGTCATTGAATCAACACATGAATTACAAGAATTAGGGTCTCCAAAATTACAACTGAAACAAGAGTAATGACATTTTTAACAGATTTCAACTCCAGTATCATAATATCCAACATTACAATCACAAGAAAATAATTGATCATTGTAAATTCTATTTGATTCAATTGAGCATAATTCACATTTTGTGTCAATATCATTGCATCTAAGACATGAGTAATGGCATTCTTAGAATATTTATGAAGAATACATACTTTAACAAACTTCATTTTATCCATCATCATAATATCTTTAGATACATTGGCATATATTGAAATCTGAAAGCAATTATCTAAGGCTGTTATCTTAACAAGAAGTACATATTTCAGATTATTTCATACATCCTTTACATTTGTAACTGCATTCTATTAAATAAAATTGATGAATACTTTAACAGACAGGTAATCCTGCATCAAAATATCCTTCTTTACAAATACATGTATTTCCTAATTAATACCTTTGATCAGTGTCTATACAAGATAAACAATCACTTTCTTCTATTCCTCCACATGTTCCACAAGAATAATGGCATTCTAATAATTATTTAAAGATTTACTTTAACATTAAACCTATCCATTAAATTCAAATGTACTTATCTAAGCTCCTTGAAACTTAGAACTACATTTACATGTACTTCCAACCAAATATCTATCATCTTAACATGAAGTACAATTATCAAAATTATTAATACATTCATAGCAATAAGCACTACAAACTAATTTTGAGTTAAATAATTACTTGCACATTCTTAAACTTCCATTTCAAAATAATGTGGTTAACATTTACATTATTTAAGTTTAAGTTCTCTAAATGCTATTAAATCGCATGACAGACATGATGATTCACTAAATGCATCACAAGTTTTGCATTTGAAATGACATCCTTTAATATAAAATAATATTACTTTGACAAGATATTTCATTTTCTTTTTCATAATATTCTCCTGCACAATAACAACCTTTATCTATATCAAGTATACGTAAAGAATTGAAAGGACAACTTAAACATTTTTCAGGTTAATCCACACAAGTTTCACATTTATATGAACATTCTAATAGATATATAATTAAAGTAATTACTTTTGCATTTAGCTGTTCCTGATTCTTCATAATATCCATCAATACATTTACAAGTATTTCCTTTTAATACTCTAAGATGAAGATCAATTGAACATGCAATACAACCTTCAGCAGTATTATCAAAACATTAAAAACAAGAGTAATGACATTCTTATAATATTTTTAAATAGAATTACTTTCACATTCTAATTATCCAACATCATAATATCCAATTGGACATATACAAGATGATAAATCTAATTATCTATAGATTGGATCACATGTTAAACAATTAGATGAAAGAGGACCAAAACAAGTTTAACAAGATACATCACATTCTATACAAGTTGGTGATAATCCATCATCATAATAATGTGAAGATAAACAAGGACATTCAAATTAAATTGCTGATGAATCACTAGGTATTCTAGTTGAAGGACATTCTATACATGCATTAAATTCAGTACTATTAGCACATCTTAAACAAGAATAATGACATTCTAATAATATTATTTAATATTACTTGAACATTCAATATTATCTGATCATCATAATATGATGTTTTACATAAACATTCTCGTGAAGTTGTTAAATATCTAAATGAACTATCTGAACAATAAGTACAATTATTAGAACCAAAATCATCACAATTTCCACAAGTATAATGACAAACTATAAATATATAATTTATTAATTAAAATACTAAAACAAATATCTTTAGTTCCATTAATATCACCATAATTTTCTATACAATCACAATTGAAATTATCATTAACCATACGATTTTGTCCAGGTATACATGTTAGACAATATTAATTTATAGTATCATCTTCTGCTTAAAAACATGTTTAACATCTTGGATGACATTCTGAATATATTTAATGATAAATAAATACTTCCACATCTTTATTCTTAAATTGCATAATCTGAATATCCAAATTTACAAGGACAAGAATTGCCTACTTGAATTCTATTAGAAATAATTTCATCTGGACATTAAGTACATTCATAATTTGTTGGACCAAAACATGTTTAACAAGACCAATCACATACTTAATTAATAATATAATAAATTTACCAATACATATTAAACCACCATCTTCAGGTTCAAATGATCCAGGTTAACAAATACATTATTTATTAACTAATATTCTATTTGTGCCAAGAGCACATGATGTACATGAATAAAAATCATCTTGTTCACATTCTTAACAATAACCATCAGAACATGGTTCACAAACATCATTTTTCAAACCAAAGTTTTATTTGCACGAACAAATACCTTTCTCTTTGATAACTCCTCCTTTTTCTAGAGAGGAATCACAAGTTGTACAAAAATTTGGATANATTCTAATTATCCAACATCATAATATCCAATTGGACATATACAAGATGATAAATCTAATTATCTATAGATTGGATCACATGTTAAACAATTAGATGAAAGAGTACCAAAACAAGTTTAACAAGATACATCACATTCTATACAAGTTGGTGATAATCCATCATCATAATAATGTGAAGATAAACAAGGACATTCAAATTAAATTGCTGATGAATCACTAGGTATTCTAGTTGAAGGACATTCTATACATGCATTAAATTCAGTACTATTAGCACATCTTAAACAAGAATAATGACATTCTAATAATATTATTTAATATTACTTGAACATTCAATATTATCTGATCATCATAATATGATGTTTTACATAAACATTCTCGTGAAGTTGTTAAATATCTAAATGAACTATCTGAACAATAAGTACAATTATTAGAACCAAAATCATCACAATTTCCACAAGTATAATGACAAACTATAAATATATAATTTATTAATTAAAATACTAAAACAAATATCTTTAGTTCCATTAATATCACCATAATTTTCTATACAATCACAATTGAAATTATCATTAACCATACGATTTTGTCCAGGTATACATGTTAGACAATATTAATTTATAGTATCATCTTCTGCTTAAAAACATGTTTAACATCTTGGATGACATTCTGAATATATTTAATGATAAATAAATACTTCCACATCTTTATTCTTAAATTGCATAATCTGAATATCCAAATTTACAAGGACAAGAATTGCCTACTTGAATTCTATTAGAAATAATTTCATCTGGACATTAAGTACATTCATAATTTGTTGGACCAAAACATGTTTAACAAGACCAATCACATACTTAATTAATAATATAATAAATTTACCAATACATATTAAACCACCATCTTCAGGTTCAAATGATCCAGGTTAACAAATACATTATTTATTAACTAATATTCTATTTGTGCCAAGAGCACATGATGTACATGAATAAAAATCATCTTGTTCACATTCTTAACAATAACCATCAGAACATGGTTCACAAACATCATTTTTCAAACCAAAGTTTTATTTGCACGAACAAATACCTTTCTCTTTGATAACTCCTCCTTTTTCTAGAGAGGAATCACAAGTTGTACAAAAATTTGGATAAAGTGTTGAACAGGTTAGGCAAATAGCCTAATCACACTATTGGTATCTACAAGCACTGTCCCTAAATTAGGTTGGAGCAAAACAAACAACACATAATTATTAAATTGGGTCATAAATATAACATTCATGATGCAATTGAATAGCCACTAATTATTAAACTAACTATTACTTTTACATGACTGGATATCTTTTTTGTAATAATATCCTAAATCGCATTAAGTACATGTTATAGTGTAAATATAAAATCCTTATTCATCCAATGTTGTTTAATCTGTAAGTATTTATTATCTACTGAAGTCACAATTTTCCAACCTAATACAAAAGTACCAATCTGGATCATTTTTATTTTTATTTAATCTAAAGTAATTAGCATCACAAGTGTCGCAAGTTACATGTTAAATTGTTGATATTTTTCTACAACTTAAACAACCCGCAGGACAATCTATTAAGAAATTATTTTAAAAAGATACAGTAGCATATGTTTTAATCTTCAACTTATCCTTTTTCACAAGGAGGAAACAAACCAACATCTGTTATTATATATAAAAAAATATACATATGTTGCAAGTCACAACAGTATTCAAAGAACTATAACCAGGAAAACATTTAGTACATGTCAATGGATCTTCACATTCTATACAATTCTCAAATTTGCATTCTTTCAGTTAAATTTTATTATTTACTTTTAGGAGGATTAAAATATCTCCAATCAAAACCATTTATTTATTATTTACAATATTCTCCATAAAAAGGTGCTTTACAATATGTGCATCTTGGAATTCCATTTATTAGTTCAGTCGCCAAACAATTTTTGTAATTTTCACCTTCAATAACTATTCTAATATTCTAAATTACTCACATTTACAATAAAATTTAAGATGATTATCTTGTAACAACTCTATTACTAGTGGAACTCCTTCATCATATCCACAAATTAATGCACCATAATGATCTATAGTTGGTGTTCCTGGAGCAAATGGTTAGAATCTAGGGTGGCATATATATTAAGTTCCGTTCTAAGCAACTAATACATCTGCTTCAGGCACATCTTTACAGATCTCAGCATAAGCTAAATATATAGTAAGCACTTACAAACACATAAGTGCGGATTCATATCAGGGACTGTAACATGCAAATCAGGGCAAAATTTTTACTCAATTTTTAAATTCGTTCTGTACCAGTACTACGATTAAAATCCTAGGACATCTATAATGATCTATAACACAATAAACCATAATATCATAATTTATTTATAATTATAATCTCTAAACCCTGATAAATGATATAGTTTTTATTATAGATATAATTCAAAAGGTTGTTTTGTCTTTTTAATTTAAATAATATTTATATATTTAAATAATATGTATATATTAATTAAATTTTAATGAGTCATTATTGATTCTTAATTAATTTATATTAATACTAAACTATTTAATAATAATTATTATTATAACATAGACCACAACCTTAATTAGATAACATACTATAAATATTTATATATATATGAAATATCTGAAAATATTGTTTAAATTAATTAAATATATAAATTCAAGATCTTGATTTTTGATCAGCCATTTCTTATTCTTTAACATCAAAACTTTCATTATAAGGAGCAGTTGAATCAACAATTTTTTTCTTCCAAGTTAAAAAGGATAATTTGTGACCCCATTTTTTAAAGCATACATACATAAAAATAATGAGCCATACAATAATAACAAATAAAACATAAATTGCAATTGTATAATATGCATATGTATAATAGTTTCCAGGAATCTAAATAATAATAATAATATATACTTCAGTAGTTGTAAATGTAAATGAATGAGTAATATTACAAAGTGTAAATTATGATTACCATACATCAGGTGTTTCTTCTTTTCCTTAGCAATTTGTAGAATTTAATAAAACAATATATTAATTAACTTCAGCATCTTCAAATTTACATTCAACAATAGGATGATTCATTTTGATTGTCATAAATTTGAATTCATATCTAGCTATTCCTACTAATAAACGAATATTCATATTTTCTTATTCTTCATATGAGAATTCTTTTAATTTAAATAAATCTGGATCTTAAAAGGATGTATGTGATAATAGTTTTTCATCCAGAAAACCTTATAATAGATTTAAGAGTAATACCTGAATAAATTGAATGTTAAATAATCTTATGTCCATCATCTCCAATTAAAACTGCATAGTATTCAAATACATTAACATCATTAATAGTCATTTCATCAATATAATAATTATTGAAAAAGTAATCAGCATTTTAAAAATCTACAAAGACTTCAACTGCAAAATCTTAATTATTAACAGTTTTAGCAACAATAAAGAAAGTGCTTTCAAAATGATCAAAACTTTTAGTTTTAGAAATGGTAATAGTAAAAAGATGAGCAACTTATCCATTTTCTAAATTATAGATTTTATAAAATCTCAATCCTGTTTCTTTATCTAAAACATATAATCGATCATCTCCATTAGAATCAACATCAATAACTTATCCTTATGGTATTCCCAATTAAATAGGTGTAATAGTAGATACAAATATTAGTTAATTATTTTAAATTTTATAGACATCTAATCCATCATGACCACAAGCAACATAAATCAATTTATGTTTCACATTATAATGAACATTAAAAATGTAATCTTTCTTTTTGACTTCAGTTTCTAATCTAAATTCAGCAAGTGCTAATTAAGTATCTGTATTTAAACTTGCTCCACCATTAGAAGTAATAATATAGATTCTATTTTCACCCATATCATCAATAAGGAATGGATGATTGAAATCACCCTCTGGATCATAGTTCAATAATGAAGCAAATGATTATTATTAGCTATCTAAACTAATACCGAAAAATCCTCTCTATAGATTAATAGAGAATATTTTAAAGTCATTTCTTACTACATATATTCTAGAAGAACTTTCAGAAGTAGCAAGATCTGTAAAATAAATATCTCTAGTAACTCCTGTCTTATCTAACCATAATTTTAATTAGTATGAAATTTCTAAATTTTATTGAATGGCAAAACATCCATATTCACCTAAAATATCCTCTTCTACTTTTTCAAAATCATCTAGATTGTAACTTTAGCTTCCAATTTATCCATTAACTCTTTTATGTAAATCAATAGCAAACACTCCTGGGTATCTAATTAAAATGAATCAATAAAAATAAATACGCTCCATATTGTATAGACAACTTTTCTTAAGCTTAACGAGTGTAATTACCTGGATCAATAGTTTCATTAATGTATCTACAAGATGGTTGCTTGATTTATTTAGCTTAGATGCTTAGAAATAGGAATATACACAATAACATGTATAAAATAATAATTAATCAATGTTTTTTATTTTAATAAAATTTGGTTATCTTTTGAACATTAGGTAGTTCACTAATTGATTCTTCATCTTCTTCTTTAATTTATTCACATGGTAATATCTTTTTTAAATTTGTGCTAATTTAATCTGTAGTTTATCCCTTTAATTATTTTCGAATAGTTGAGAATTCACTAGCCAATTCACTCTATCCATCATTTATATCTTCAAAAGGTTTTATTTTACAATCTACAACACACCAATCAAAACAGTAAGGTCCTAATTTAATAATTTCTTACTAGTTTTGTTGAAACCTTCTTTACATATTTCTTTCATTTTTCCATAATTTGGTTATTCATCAAATCTCAATCCTTTAGAATGATCATAAATTTTTTTAAGAATTGGAGGAATATTTATTTCTAACTAACCTGAAGCGAATTTCTGTTTTGCATCAAGAATCTTCATAAATTTCTCTTATCTAGTTTAACAATTGAAATTTTGCCAAGGTAATTGACCATTATAAAGATACAGAAGTACATAACACATGGCTTCTAAATCATCTCTTCTACTTTATTCAGCACCTAAATGGGAATTGATACTGGTATATCTGGCTGTGCCAACCATTCCTTTATTGTCTGCCTGTTAAATATGAATGCCTTGATTATTGTATTTAAAAACCTTAGGCATCAACAAATGGTTTGGCTAATCCAAAATCAATCAAATAAACTGTATGATGATCTCCAAAACTACCTACCAAGAAATTTTCAGGTTTGATGTCTCTATGTACATACTTTCTTTCATGAACAGCTTCAATGACACAAATAAGACAATATGCTAATCTAATTATGCATGATTCAGAGAACTTCTCATGAATTTATTTCTTTCTTAGTTCTTCAAGATTACCTGAAATAATAAGAATATTTATACCTGAACCATAATAAGGCATTATGATTAATTTGTAATCTTACTGTTAAATTAATTGATAAGGCTGGGGGACTTGAGGGATTCCTTTCAACTATTAGAATGTGTTATATTCTTTAACTAGTAAAGATTGTTAATTTTATTATCTTGTATCTTTGAACTCCACTTTGCATGCATGTAAAGTCCTAGTCAAAGTATTGTAAATTTTATAAATTTCTCCGAAACTTCCTTGGCCTGCCTTTTCAACCAATTAATATTCAATTGGTAATTCAATTAATGGACTTACTACTTTTTTTACTGGATATTCACTCTAGAATCTCACTCTTGGTAAAGTTGACTACATATATTATTTATATAATTAATAATGTAATCATATAATCCAGCCGTCTCTCATAAAAGAAAAGAAAGAGATATAGCAAAACTAATGATGTCTAATTATCATGTTGAATAATGTGCTTAAAACCCATACAATTTTAAAGTTAATATAAATGGGTAAAAATTATAGTAATTATTATAAAGACCATCTGATTCTCTCTATGCTGGAGGAGTCTATACTATTAATGTTCTTCTACCTGAATAATATCCATACAAATCCCCAAGTATTGGTTTCCTTACTAAAATATTCCATCCAAACATAGATGAAGCGTATTTAATACTATATATTTATAGTTCTGGTTCTGTCTGTCTTGATGTCATTAATTAAGCATGGTCACCTATGTATGATCTCATGAATGTTTTCGAAGTCTTCCTTCCTTAATTACTCAATTACCCTAATCCTAGTGATCCTCTTAATCCAGATGCAGCCAGTCTTCTCATCAGAGATAAACCTAGGTATTCCTCAATCATATATATCTAGATATGAGAAGAAGGTCAAAGATATGGTTCTTAAATATGCCACTAAACACAACAAGGAAGTTTAAAATATCGAAATTATAAAAGAATCAAAATAAGATGATGAAGATAACGTTTCCCTCATCTCCTTAGACAATGTATCATAACTATCAGAACACTCTTATGGACATGCTGAAATTCAAAGTTTATTTTGAATTTTTAACCAATTATAAATATATAATTATTCATTTTTAACCTTTACTACTCTATTATATAATTTAAATTACAAGAGAGGTTCTTATCAATTCTATGCATTATATAATAAATTCTCATTAATTTTTAAAGAACTAATTGATATATATTTATAATCTTCAATTTGATTTTTAATCTCTTTAAATTATTCTGAATGATAAAGTGTATTGAAAATCATCAATTATTAATATACACATCTTATTATAATATTATTTATATCATAGAATATTATTTTAAATAAATTCATAAAGACTATTAATATATATATAAATAATTATACATATATACTCTTTGAAATAAAATTTAATGTATTGATTATAAAATTGAATATAAAAATTTTATATAGTCATTTATAAATGTATAAAACAATTTAGAAATTAGGAGATGGAGTTTTTGGAAGTGTAACTAAGGCTCTTGATGAACGAACCTAAGAGTTTGTAGCTATTAAGTCTTATAGAGACAATTCAGTTCGAGATGAAAGTAAAATAAAAGAGATCCAAATATTAAAAAAATTAAACCATCCCAACATCATAAAATTAAGAGATGTGATAAAATAAAACAAAACTATAGCTATAGTACTTGATTTTTCTGAGAGAAATTTATTACAATACTATAAATCAGTCAAGGAGAAAAATAGAACTTTATGCGAATAACAAATTTAAAGCATTGTTTATCAAATAGCAAGTGCTTTAAATTATTTACTTACATAAGGTTATTTACATAGGTAACAGAATAGTTATTGATTGGATAGAGACTTGAAACCTGAAAACATTATGATTTAAGATAATGGAATAGTGAAATTAATAGATTTTGGACAAGTCACATACTAAAATGAATAACATACTGATTATGTATCTACAAGATGGTATAGAGTATTATATTTATTTGATTATTTAAGTCTCCAGAACAAATAAAATAATTACCATATAATCATGAAATTGATATTTGGTCTTTTGGTTGTATTATTGCAGAACTTTATTTATTGACTCCATTAATACCTGGCACTACTGAAATTGATTAACTTTATTAAATTTAGAATTTGAATCTGAATCAATATTCTAATATTATTCCACCTCAACCATTAAGACTTATAAAGAGTATGTTGTAAGAGGATCCAAATTAAAGAGTGACTGCAATAGAGATTTTATAGAATAATTGGTTATAACATCCATTCAAATTCTTGCCTAAAGAATTAGATATTTAAGATGATTCAAAATATTTAATAAGTCCTGCTTAAACACCTGCAAAAGTTTAGAAATACTTTGAAAAATAGGAGAATAATTAAAATATATTGAATCATCATTCTACTGGAATGTTTAATTTTATATAACCAATAATATAAAACAATAGTAATTTCGATGAAGATTTAGATTGTGGTTATATTCCATCTTATGCTACTTCATTATAAGGAACATAGAAAAAGAGAGTGATACCTCAATAATAATAATAATTTACAAATGAATAATCGATACAAAATACTATAATAGAATAGGAACCATAACTATTATATGTAAAAACAACAATAAATTAGCAATAATAGAATAGATTGAATAAAAATTTCTTTTCTAAACCGTATTAATTTATTATTAAATTTTTAGATTGCTAAATACACAAAGAAAAAATAATAATTAGACTGAAATATATTGAAAATAATTAAGGATTTTAGTAAATCATGATTATATAGCCAAATGCTTTTTAAGTATAACTACAATGTCATCAGTAATAAAAGATTCTTTACTAAATTTTAATGGTTTAGTGAATTCAACTGGCCAAAAAGAACTACAAGCCTTATTAGATTCTAAGAGTCCACATTTCTTATAGGCTTTGGCTACTAATTCTGAACAAAAGTAAGTGTCATTTTTCTTTGAAGGACTTAAACTCTTTTATCTGAATAATTTGCTTAATGTCACTTCATATTTCTTCCCATGTACTTATTATAGAAATTCAATCATCTTTTTTTCAATTTCAGATCTATTAACATTCATTAATTTACGTATAGCCAATCTAAAAATATAAATTTGATCTTACTTTTCATATAAATCATTAACTTCTATGAATTATGACCATTCTAAAAATGTTACTCCAGTATCAGCATTTGCATCAAAAATGAATAAATATTTATTAGCCATTTTAATAGCAATAGCAACATGATCATATTTTGTATTAGTGAATATTCTCTACAATTTAGCACCTGTATTATTAGTTTCAAAAAGTAAAAGATCACCTGATTCAACAATTTTTAAAAAATAATCTTCAGAAATCACTTCAACACCTAAATATCTAGGTACTTCTTATAATTATAATCTATTTTTTGGATAATTTCTATGTTTATCAAAAACAATATTCAAACTATTTACCCACATTTTTGCTTCAACAACATCTTTTGCTTAATATAATATTATTTATTTAAGATGGTTAAATGTTATCTTTATTAACTATTTTTCTTATTCAACAATGAACTCAAATTCTTTTAATGACAACACTCTTATTAATTATTATTTTTATTCATCATTATATTCCTTAATCGATTGTCTCGTTAATTAAACATACACTCTTTTACTCTAATATAGCCAACCTTCTTTCACTGTTTAATTACCATCTAAATAGATTTCAAAATCATCAACATTGTTCTTCTCTATACAACGAATCTAACATTAATTTTCATATATCTACTGGGGAAGTTAAATTTATAGTTTATTGAGATTTCTGAGATTTTCGTTTTAATCTCTCTGGAGAACATTCTGATCTAAAATAGCAATCAATTAAAGGATTCTAATGATTTTAAACTGAAATGGATCTTAATCTTTTCTCTAACATCTATTTCTATATTTATATATATATATATATATTTTAAAATATTAAATCACAAAATATAATTATCACCACTCTTTTTTCTTTTCCTTATAATAATCAATCTTCTTTTACATTCCTTAATAAAATTCAGATTACAAATTTTCTCCTTAAACAGCCATCTCAATATAATATTATTATAAATGAATAATACTCTAATAATATTTATATTTATTTATTTACTTAAATTAATTACTCTCTACACTATTCACCTTCTTAAATTAGATTTTATAAGTCTTAATTTGATGTAGTCTTCTCATCAAACTTATCATAATTACAATTAAATTCTAATGTCTTACTATCAATATCTGCTAATTATTGAAGATGTTTATAAATTTTATGTGATTATTCAATTTACTAATATAATAAACTAATATCTATACTTATACTGTTTAAATATTATGTTATAATACTTTATTTGCTGATGCATCTGTCTAATTTAAAGCATTAAAAGTTTCCTATTATTATTTAAGTTAATCATATTTAGGTTATAGAATTGATCTCAACTTTTGAATAAATTGAGGATGAAAGATTAGATCTCTTTCCCATCTCTTTATCATTGTGTAAGCACTCTCCAAATCCTTTATATCATCTACAATACAAAAATCACCTAATAATTTTTTGAGCTTTCCACCAAATGCTTTCAGAAATGGATTATCTTACCTTCTTAATTAACTCTCATCTAATATAATTTGATGTATTAAAAATAAATATATTCTTTTCTTATCTTTTCTTGTTTAAGTAAATTCATTTTCAATCATTGAAGCAATTTATTATGCACTCCCAGGATAAGCTGAACAATAATTAGCAGTCTCTTTGAGTAAAGAATTAAAATACTTATAATTTAATCTTTAGCTTCTGTTAATTACTAGAGTAAACATTCTAATTAGTTCAAGTCCATTAGATAATTTATTATTATATAATAACTAAATTTTAAGTATGAAAGAAACTCATTACTCTTAATGTTTGTTTAATGTTTCCAAAGCACTTTTAATATGCTTTTATAAAGAATCTATTTATGTTTTTTACAATGCAAATGCTATATAGAATAAAAATAAATTGAATACTTTTTGCAAAATTCTTTACTACTTATTATAAATCATCATTTTTCCTTACTCCAAGTCTTCCTATTTTATTTTTAGATATTCGAACATCTAAAAATAATATAGGCTCTTCATTTTCTTCTCTCTCTGATAACTTAAATTCTTTGATTTCCTTATTATTATTCACTTTTTCTAATTAAGATTATTTTATTTCATAATATTTTTCTTTATATTCTTTCTCATTTTAGGCTTTCTACATTCTTTTTATAGTATTTTCAAATCCAGGAATTTAATCCACCTTCTAATCACTTTTTATTAATGTACTCTTTATCTCAGGCTTAAATGTGCATTCCTTATCCAAAACATCCTTATTAACAACCTATTATTATTGCTTTGTTTATAAAGCTTTGGAATCATTAAATAATCTTTCAAATACTTAATCTCCAGAAGTTTTCTTAACATTCTTTTAAAAGGATAACATCTCATCATTCTCTTATTTCAATTTTAGTAAATATCCATGTCGAGCTTTTTCTTATAATTGTTTAGAATGATTATAAAGCATTTCACTTCTTTATATACCTTTAGTAGATGTACTACTTTTTGTGGGTGTATATGATTTGTATGCTTATAATTTAGAGAAACTATCAAAAGGTTTCTCTTTGATTTTAACTTCTCTTAAAATGAATGCAGGATGAGGATTATTAAGAATTTAAGACCTAAGCATTTTTATTACTTTCTCAAATTAAGGTAATCTATTTTCAAATAATAATCGATCCAAATGTGCCAATGATCTATAATTGATAACCTTTTCTAAATCTTAAGCTACTTAATCATCAAATTTCTCAACACATGAAAATATTTAACCTAAAATCTTAGCCATTCTATCATATGGAATTACTTATTATTAATACCAAGTGTCTTCAGTCTTAGATTAAAATTGAATAACACTTACATATGCTAACATTAAACAGAAATTCCAAAATTTGGAATCTACAAATAAGTATAGTTAATTCATCATCTGACTCAGTTCTTATTCTGAATAGGGTTTGACATCTACAAAAGATGAGAATGTCTCTTTATCCACAATAATGTCGTACTCTATTTATTCTGGAAATTGTATAATTTGTTTATACCTTTGATTATAATGAAAGAGTTCTAAATTAAATATTTACAATCTTACATTATTCTCATTTCTTTTTCTATCTGAGAATTACGGAGTATCTGGACGTTCGATTATGTCTTTCAAATACTATTTCTTGCCACTTTCAAAATCATTTATAAGGTTGATTTTCTTTTTTATAAGCTATTCATAATTGTTATTCTGTTACATATTAATAATTATGATTATGGATGATAAAATCTAAAGAATTTTACAAATGAATGACTTCTAACGTTCCTCTGACATTCGCAAAATCTCTCAATCACAATTAACTGAAAATACTAATAAGACTTATTCTATCACAGTTACAAATCAATCCAAACCCAAAAGAAGAAAGGTTGTCAAATTAAAGAATCATTTACTCTAATCACATGTAAGTCCAGATATTTAAAAATTATATTATTAAACCAAAAAGAATGAAGATTCTTGTTAATAAAATCAAATTGAATAACCAAAATCAAATAACTTACCCACAATATCTGATCAATCTTCTAAAACTAATTTGAATGATTTGATTACTATTATATTAGAAATATTCCCTCCTGATCATTAACTATGGATAGATCTATAAATTAAGGATTAATCTATAGAAGAAGTTATTACTTAAAATTAAAATTATTTCTCTGATCTACTAAGTAATCATATTTAACTATTTTACTAGTCCTCTATATTCAAGAGATGGAAATTCGTCAACTCAAAGATAAAAAATAAGGTTACAAAGGCAAATATACTACTTAATATAGTGAAGATTTTAACGATAAAGTAATTAAAGATAATACATCAATTAATAGATGGATTTATGATCGAATCAAATAATCAAATACATTTCTTTAAAACATTAGTACTTACAATGTAAATTTTATAGAATTTATAGAAAGTAACATTACATTCCCAAACGTTACGACAAGATTGGCAACTTCAAACCAGATCATAAACCAAATTTAAATGAAATATCTTGTCTTTCCTCATATTCTATTAATTATAGAGACTGGAAGAAATAATATCATGGTCTCATAGGTCCTATTAATGTTTCTAGTGATTAGAAATTACCATTTATTGCTGAAACTAATTACACTAAAAATTTTGTCACTCAAAAATATGAAAAACAAGATCCTATCATCCCTAAATAATTGTACTACTTATATTAATATATCTAGAGGACCATTTCCATTACAACCAAGAACATTGATTCGAGATACTACACATAAATCTTAATTTTCTTTGCCTTAATAAGATAATACATAAATTTAAAATATGGTATATAGTCAAAGAACTAATCATATTAAAAGTTTTGATGGATATTAACCACACTATAATAAATAATCTACAATTTCGAATCAGAATGATGAATTTGCTGATCGCTTTTATTAATCTTCTATTGTTTAAAAATTAATGAAGAATAATAATTAAAAATAATAAAATAATTGATATAATTCAAAGTATATTTTATGATATGTCACTATTATTAAAGCAATTTATAGTGGAGAAGATCTTTTTATATTTACATTAGTTAATTTAATGAATTTTCATTTCTAGAATAGTAACTGTTTAAACGATCTAATTCTTATTCAAAATTTGTCATTTTTGGTCTAATCTTATAAGGATAGTATAATGCAACTCGTTCCCACTCCTCTTCTTCAAGACGAGCACAATTTGATTGATTAAATTTAAATGTGGATATATTCATTAGTATTTTATGTTCTATTTCAGGATTAATCTTTTTTAATTCTTATTATATTTATTTAAGATCCATCTACATTTATTTTGAGGATGGCAAACTATTATTTCTTTCACTTTATTGTTTATAATATTAAATACATTGATTTTGTTTATTGAACAGCACTTAATTGTTATTTTCTTTTTGTCTGATTAAGTTCCCCCAACATTCGTTTCGCTTTTTCACTCTTCAATGAATCCAATTTATACAATTTTACAAGTGTTTTTTCATAATTTACTTAATTCTTCTCCAAATAGGCTCGAATTTTATTGTCCACTTTATCAAACAATTAATTATCATATGTAAGATCTTTAATTTTATTGCTCATGCTTCTCTTCTCTCTATTACTCAATCTATTTGTTTTATGAGGAGAAATTGTATTCTCAACAACATCAATTGTATTGGATGAGACAACTGGAGTCACACTTTTCATTATAAAAAATTAATATTTTGTATTTATAAAATTTACAATATTTAAACTTTAAGAGTTTGATCATTTACTATAGAAATGAAATTAACTATGCATAATTATAGATATAATAGATCATAATTTATCTTGAGTTTTAATTTTAAAACATTTTGTAAATAAACACAGAATAGGAATCTATAATAATCTGTTGAAATATAAAATTAATAAAAATTCAGATGTGTAAATATATAAGATTATAAATTAAAAAATAAATGGAATTTACTAATAATGCTACTCATATATTTTATTCAAAACAAATATAGTAACTAATTTTTGGTGGAATAAAATTATTTTTACTTTCTTAACAGCTTTTAAATAGCATATGAATAGAATAATGACATATTATAATGCTTATTTCATAAATCAATTTTCACAATAAATAAATAATTTAATGAAACTTAATTTTATTATAAATCAGCATTTTTTTAAAGTATTAAATGCTTACTTAATTTCTTTAAATTAATTAATATGAATTAATATTAATCAATCTATTCTTAAAATTTAATTACTAATTAGTATTATAATTTTTTTAAGTTATTAGAAATATTTTGTTTAAAACATATATAAAATACCATATATGGTATATTATCAAATAAATAATAAAGCCTATGGTTATAATAGTAAATTCAAGAAGTTCCCCTTTAAAATAAATTAGCTAAGAACTAATATAGAGTCTTCAAATTTTAGAAGACATAAAAATTACATTAATTAAAAAGACAAAACAACCTTTTTGAATTATATCTATAATAAAATCTATATCATTAAACAGGGTTTAGGGATTATAATTATAAATAAATTATGATTTTATGGTTCATCGTGCTATAGATCATTACAGATGTTCTGGGATATAGAGATTAGTATTCATACTCAACGGTTTTAAACATGAAATAAAATTTTTGCCCTGATTTGCATGTTACGGTCCCTGATATGGATCTACATATATGTGTTTGTAAGAGTTAGTTTTAAATTTAGCTTATGCTGAAATTTGTAAGGATGTGCCTGAAGTAGATATATTAGTTGCTTAGAATGGAACTTAATATGTATGCCACCCAAGATTCTAACCATTTGCTCCAGGAACACCAACTATAGATTTCTTTGGTTCAATAAATTGTGGGTATGAAGAAGGAGTTCAAATGGTAATAGAGTAGTTACTTGATTATCATCTTAAATTTTATTGTAAATGTGAGTAAATTAGACTATTAGAATAGTTATTGAAGGTGAAAATTACAAAAATTGTTTGGCGACTGAAATAGTAAATGGCTATCAAAGATGCGCATATTGTAAAGCACCTTTTGTTGGAGAGTCCTGCCTGAAATTAACATAAGGGTTTTATGATTGGAGATATTTTAATCCCCCTAAAAGTAAATAATCACTTTTTATTCAATAGAATGCGAAAGTATTACTTGCATAGAATGTGATAATCCATCTTCATGTACCAAATGTGCTCCTGGTTATGGTTCTACAACTCCAGCAAACACTTGTGATAAATGTATATGATTTTATATATATTTACAGGGTTGGATTCTACACCTCCTTGTAAAGAAGGAACATATCTAGAAACAGTGGATAAATGCTTTTGTATATATTTAAATAATTACTTAATAGTTTGTCCTGAAGGTTGTTTAAGTTGTAGAAAAAGGTCAGCAAGTACTTAACCATCTGTAACTTGTGATGTTTGTGATTCTCGTTACTTTAAAGTAAAGTGCAGACAAGATGATCCAGATTGTTACTTTTGTTTTATAGGAACTGGTTGTGACTTTGATAGATAATAAATACTTACAGATTACACAACATTAAATGCATTAGGATAATATCAATACGTTATATCATGTACTTAATGCGATTTAGGATTTTTTTATTCTAAAGAAAAGAAGAAATGTGAATGTAATATTCAATAATATTTTGAGATTCTGAGAATATTCAGAGTTATTGTTTAATTTATGACCCAATTTTAAAAAAATGTATGAGTTGTAAACCTGATAAAATATTATATTATGGGAGCTGTTCAAATCCATGGTGTATTCCAGATTGCAAAACCTGTTCAATTCTAGATAAAGGATCAATCACTAATATTTATGAAATGATAACTTCAAAACCTGCTATCATAAATTGCTCTTAAATATAATTTTAAAATTTGAATTTATAAAACAAGATTTCATTGTTATTTGAAGCTATGAATTAAAAATGTAATGATTTACATTACTAAATTTATCTTGATTTGCTTTATTAATAAATTCTGCCAGATTAAAATGATAATACGCTTAAATTTTAGGCTATAAAATTATATAAGTAATTTTTACTTTAGTATGGATAAAGCAAACCTTAAACTAGATTATTAATTGAAGCAAATTAAAAAAAATGTTATGATTTAAATTCTAACCATTTATTTATTACATAAAATTCTAGTGAGAGTAATGTTAATTTATCAAAAAAGATAGAAGACTTAAAAGAAAACATCCATAATTTGAACATAGTTCTAAATTATTTTAGCTGCATTAAACAATAATGCGAAGAGAACCTAAAAATACATTAATATTTATGGGATGAAGAAATCTTCCAATAATATTAAAATTCCTAGGATAGCTTAATAAATCTATTATACTATGTAGATTAAATATATTCAGATTTTTCACAAGTAAACATAATAAATAATGTAATTTATGAAAAAATTTCTGAATTGTTACAATTTATTACTTTGATTGCAGAGGAAGCATAAAATACAATTATCGTAAACGAAAAGCCTTTAATTATTTAAGGCAAAGAGATCTTATGGTAGATGAAAAGAAGAACCAAATAGATATTTAATCACTAATTTAATATTCAAACAACTGATGAAGATTATCTAATAGATTTATTCAATATGAATCTACCTATCTTAAAACCAATCCTATAAGATTTACTCAAGATCTAGATAATAAACTCTAATCATAATTTGATGACAAAACAATAAAAATTTTCCTCGAAAATTACTACTCAATTAAATTGAAAAATTTATATCACAGTAGATTTCTAATATTTGAAGATTTTTCAGCTTCATACACTCTAAAGTTTGGATCATATTAATTTTGTTCAGAAAACAGTGTAATATTATAAAAATACCAAATATTATGCATAATAAAAACAACATTTGGAAAATTTTATAAATGTGTTTTAAATAGTTAATTAATTGATGACCATATTGAATTAACTTGTGAATGTAATAAGTTTGGTGAAATTTTTTTAACAACATCGACTAATTTTAGTTATGGAATTGAAAACCAAACTACTTAATCAATATTTTAGCTTGATATTGCTTCCAGACCTGAGGACTATTTGGTTTTAATAATTTTTACAAGTTCTTTGACATTTTTTTTTATGGCAACATATATTATTAATCTATTTAGGGATTAAAAAAATAAGGAAGAAAAGTTAGATACAGAACCAAATAGCATAAATTCACCTCATAATTTAAATAACAAATCACTTCTGTATTCTGGTAATTTTAAACTTTTCAAGCAAAAGTTCAAAGTAACTTTTAAAAGTATAATTAGTTCATCCATTAAACCGTATCCTTATTTTATTATAAAGACAAAAACATTCATATAAGCTATAGAATTTTAGATGTTGTTTCATAATTCAATTTATAATTAACTTTGGTAATACTTGAATGTTTTTTATTAAATAATTAAGCTATTTTCATATGTATATTCATAATTACAAACCCTATACTTATTTTTATTTTGAGAATTTTATTCAAGATAATGGAAGCAATTTATAGATTTGGAAGAATTGCTAGTGCTGTTAGTTAGTCCTTTTTAATAATAATTTTGGTGCTTCCGAATCTAATCCTAATTATTCTTTACTAATACAGGTATCATATTATATTAATTTAGTATCATATTGAAATCAGAATATTATGTTTTTTACATAATTTACTTAGGGAATACTATAATATCATAAGTTCTTATAGAACCAATAACAATCTTTATCAGAATATATATTTATAGGTAGATATCTTCTAGTTTAAAAAATATGGATCTTAATCCGAAGTATCATTTAATGCATTTTTTCATAATACATAGCTGTTTAGAAGATATTTTTGAAGAGTTCACAAGGATTTGATTGGTTTAATAATATTATATTTAATATAAAAAATAAATATATTATCAAATAATTGAAATAAGGAAAACTTAGCTTCCAAGATTAGGGATTTTTGTTTCTTTTTATTTTCTAAAAAATTGTTTGAACATCTGAGTATAATTGTATAAAAAATAATTGTAAAAAATACTTTATTTTAACTTAAATTATTAATCATTTGATTTACCAAAATAATTCTCTTAAGTAATCAGTTCAAAAATATTTTCCGCATTTTAGATTTATTTTATCTAGGAATATAGATTTGATTAATAAGAACCAGTTTTTCAAAAATTATTTCTCAAAATCATCTTGTAAACTTAGGATAATAAATGATCTCAAATTACCTCAATAACTAATGATATTGTCTTCATATTGTACAATTTGAGTGACTTTTGGAAAAATATGAAGAAAATTTCATTATTCGAAAGGTTAAGAAATTTTAGTTGAAAATGATTTAAGGAAAAATCTGAGAATTTTAAGCAAAATTAAAAAGCTTAAAATTTCCTAATATTAACTTTAGAGGTCTTGCAATAATAAAAGTGATTACTAACTGTACCAAATTAAAAAAAAAAAACTATAATTTGGCCTTCTTTTCTTAATGGTTATTGAACATCTAATAATTCTAGTAGGAACCTCATAAAGTTTTATGATTAAAAATTATATCAATTTGTACTTTAAAATCATTAATCCCACTATCCAATTACTTTAAATAGTTAATGGCCTTATGGTTTTTTGAAAATTTTCCAAGCAATAAATATTGTTTAATGGAATTTAGAATCTTTTTTTTGAGAGTTTATAAAATAATTCGAGCAAATGGCTTATTATAAGTAAAAGAATAAATTCTGCCTTATATTTTTAACCATTACTATTGTTATTTCTTTTTGTGTTGAAATAAGATTGTTTTCGATTAGCCAGGGATCAAATGCCAGGCCAGTTTTAAGTTTATAATTAAAATTCGAACTTTAATTTCAGCTTGGATTAATACTAATGATATGCTTAATTACTTTTATGTTTTTAATCATATAAAATCAAAAAGAAAAAGATTTCCTTCATAAAGTATAAGGTAATTATTCAAAAATTTAATGTTATTTTTAGATTTTAGAATCTGATGAATGTAAGATTCCTAGATTTGGATGAGAAATCAATTACTGATTGTCGTATAAATATTCGAGAATTTTATATCATCTTATAGAAAAATAAATAAGCCAGTTAGAGTCTTGTATTAAATTTATTTTGCAATCTGATAAAAATTAAAGGATATCATCGCAATTTTTAGATTACTATAATAATAATATAAATATATAGTTTGAATTAAAAACAAGGTTCCTCTTCCAAATCTATATAAAATAATGCAACAAAGTAACTTAGTTATGGAATACAAATATTCTTGAGAGCACTTCAAGCACATTTTAGCCTCTAATTGTATTTAAAAAATTAAAGGCTGATAACTTTGAGAGTCTTCAGTTTATCAATTTTAGAAAAATTATGAATATCAAAAATATTTTAGAGCTAGTTTCATTATAAAAAATTTTGATAGCTAAACAAAAAAAAGAATAGTTAAAATAAAAAGCACAGTTTTTTCAAAATAAATAGACTAATAAATTTAGTTCTATTGACTCTTCATTTGAAAAGCAATTGACAATTCCAAAAGGATAATATTCAAATTCTTCCCAACAATTAAAAATTGATTTAGAAAATCAATTTTAACAATAAGAACATAATAGAAAATGCAGTTAAAATATCAAATTTCATTAATCTAGAAAATTTGGTATGAAATCTGCTTAAATCAGGATCTTTATAAGATCAATATATGAATGTGAAAAAGGAGAATTTAAGTGATAATTTGCTAAGTCTTAAACAACAAAGTTCTTTAAAAGAAATGAAAACCAATTCGACTTTTGATACAAGATAACTTAAATAATGTATAAAAGTAAATTCTCAAAAAAAATGATAGATTATTAGAAAAATTGGCTTTAATAAATATTTAAGAGCTATTCCAAAACTGCAAAAAGGTCTTGTAGTAAAATAAATTCTTCAATTTAGTTATGTTATTATATGTTTCAAAAATAAACATTATTTATATATCATGCTATTTATATAGAAATATCTTGACTTCATTTTACAATATAAACAGAAGTAGAAACATCTAGATGAGCAGAATATTTCTAAAATCTGGGAATATATTGAAATGTAGATTTTTAGAAATTTTTATAATATAATTATTTATATATATAAAACTAATTAAATATCAACCTACTTCTCCATCAACAATTCCTTCAAAACTTACCATATATTTCATTTTTTTTGGCAAAATAACATGGTTGAACTTGATTCAAGCCAAATCCAATAATTAAAAATTAACTGATGACATGCTAACTTTTAGAAAATGTGTTATACTGACCTTCAGAAATATATTATTTCTTAAAAAATTTTTTAAGATTTTTCACGAACATGTCTACGATTTATGCTATTGTGAATAAATGATTAACTTAACTTGAACTAATAAATAATTTAACCTCTTTACCATCCTCATCCATAAGAAATTCTTAACGGCTTTATAAAAATGTATTTTTCAGAAAATTACTAAGCTACCTCATTAAAACAGTTGTAATACTTTAAATTGCAATAAATTTTAACTATTAAATTATATATTTGAACTAATAAACATAAATTGAGAAAATAAACAGAAGAAAAATAATCTGAAATAACCAGAAGACTTAACAACATATATTCGATTATACTTATGACCTAATTAGATAAGGAGACTTTGAATTTTTTAAATCATATTAATAAATAAGAAATGATTATAAGCTTAATTTGGTTGTTGATTATCACAGGTGTTGTTGGGTTCAGAGAGTATTTTCGAGATTATACTACTGTCTATGGATATGTAAATGATTAATGCCCTGAATTGCATGCACTAAAGCCTGATATGCATCCACATCAATGTGTTTGTAAGTTTAGAGAATATTATAGCTTACGCTTTGATTTGTAAGGATGTCACAGAAGTAATAGTAAAAACTGAAGTAAATGGAACTTAACATATATGTCATCCCAGATTCTAACTATGGGGAGCAGGGAGTCCAACAAAAGATAATACTACAGTTCATTGTGGTTTTGAGGGAGGTGATTAATTAGTAATGGAGTTATAAGCAGATGGACATTATAAATATTATTGTAAATGTAAGTATTGTTAAGTAATAGATTAGCTATGACGGATGATAAAAATAAACGATGTTTGATAACGGCTCTTTAATAAGGGTTATTTAGATGCCAATTTTGTAAGCCGCCTTATTATGGAAATGACTGTAAAAAAACATTATATGGTTTTGATTAAAGGTATACAAATCCTCCAAGATGTATAAATTATATCTATTGAAGAATGTTCTGGATATTGTTTGGAATGTGAAGACAGCACAAGTTGTACTAAATGTATTCCTGGCAGAGATAACCTAATATCTAGTGATAAAACATGTTCAATGGGTAAAATATACCCTAATTTTTTTTAGAATGTTTAGGATTTACAAGTTGTTCTTTAGTTTCTAATTAATATCAATATAGTGGTATTTGCATGTAGGGAACTGTTTTAAACTAAGACCGCTGTTTTAGTAAATTTTTAATAATAGCTTATAGGTTGTCCGGAAGGTTGTCTAAGTTGTACTTAAGATCAAATGTACACTTATAAAAGGTCTTGTGATGTCTGCGACCCTAATTATTTTAGAGAGAAGTTTAGTAGTAATGAACCGAATATGTATGCATGTTATAGAATAAATTATTGTGACATCTCAAGGTAACTTAAGGTTTCTTTAACAACTCTTCCAGACGGATTATATATTTATAATATAAGATGTACTTTATGCGATCCAGGATATATTTATGATAACATTAGTGGATAATGCTTATGTAAAACATAATTAGGATATTGCTTTAGGGCTTCCAATAGTAAAATAAAGTTGTTTATTTTTGGACCCATCAGGAACTAATTGTATAGCTTGTTATCCTTGGTATGGATTACAATAAAATGGAACATGTTAACTTATAAGTTGTAATCCAGGTTGTTTTACATGTTTGGATACAAATCCTGAAGTTTGTACTACCTGTGATGGCTTTAATAATAAAATACTTGATAACGGTAACTGCATCTGTAAACCAAATTATGGTTTAAAAAATGATGTTTGTGAACTGTGCTCTAATGGTTATTGTTAAGAGTGTGAAAAAGAAGATTTCTATTCATGTACATCATGCACACTTGGAACAAATAGAATATTAGTTGATAAACAATGCATTTGTTAACCTGGATCAATTGAACCTGAAGATGGTGGTTTAATATGTACTGGTAAATTTATGATATTATAATTAAGTATGTGATTGGTCTTGTTAAACATGTTCTGGTCCAACAAATTATGAATGTACTTAATGTCCAGATGAAAGCATTACTAATAGAATTCAAGTAGGCAATTCTTGTCCTTGTAAAACTGGATATTCAGATTATGCAATCGCAGAAGCAAAATGTGGAAGTATTTAAATCTAATTACATATATTCAGAATGCCATCCAAGATGTTAAACATGTTTCTAAGCAGCTGATGAGACTACAAATTAATATTGTTTAACCTGTATACCTGGATAAAATCGTATGGTTACGGATACTTTCAATTGTGATTGTAAAGCAAATTATGGTGATTTTGATGGCACTTCAGATGTGTGTCTAAGTATTTTTATCAGTTATATTTAGTCTGTGATTATACATGTGGAATATGTAATGATTTTGGACCCACACATTGTACTTATTGCTTAGAAAGCTCAAATAGATATTTGACAGCTTTAGGGGAATGCTTATGTAAAACATCATATTATGATGATGGAACAGAAAATATAGAGTGTTAAAGTAATAATAAGTGAAATTATTAGAATGTCATTATTCATGTTTAAGATGTGCCAATAGTACTGAGTCTAACTCATGTATAGAATGTCCTCCAACTAGAAA